AGTTCTATAATGTAAAATTCCCACTAGTATATGAAAGTGACAACATATGAGACTCTCTATATGAAGAACATGGTGCTACTTTGAAGCACAATATATGAGACTCGCTATATCATGATGCTACTTTGAAGCACAAGTGTGGAAAAAAGGATAGCAGCATTGCCCCTTTTTGTGGGCCTTCTTTTTTTCTTTGGCCTTTCTCTTTTTTTTTTCTTTTTTTATTGGGACAATGCTCTATTGAATGATGATCATCACACTTTTATTTATTTACAACTCAATGATTACAACTCGATTCTAAAACAAAGCATGACTCTATATGGATGCCTCTGGCGGTGTACCGGGATATGCAATGAATCAAGAGTGACAAGTATGAAGAAATTATGAACGGTGGCTTTGCCACAAATACTTATGTCAACTACATGGTCATGCTAAGCAATATGACAATGATGAATGTGTCATGATGAACTAGATGGTGGAAAGTTGCATGGCAATATATCTCGGAATGGCTATGGAAATGCCATAATAGGTAGGTATGGTGGCTGTTTTGAGGAAGGTATATGGTAGGTGTATGATACCGACGAAAGGTGTGTGGTATTAGAGAGGCTAGCAAAGGTGGAAGGGTGAGAGTGCGTATAATCCATGGACTCAACATTAGTCATAAAGAACTCATATACTTATTGCAAAAATCTAGAAGGTACCAAAGCAAAGTATTACGCGCATGCTCCTAGGGGGGTAGATTGGTAGGAAAAGACCATCGCTCGTCCCCGACCGCCACTCATAAGGAAGACAATCAATAAACAAATAATGCTCCGACTTCGTTACATAACGGTTCACCATACGTGCATGCTACGGGAATCACAAACCTTAACACAAGTATTTTTTAAATTCGCAACTACTCAACTAGCATGACTTTAATATTATCACCTCCATATCTCAAAACAATTATCATGCTTCAATCTTTTCTTAGTATTCAACACACTCAAAAGAAAGTTTCACAAATCTTGAATACCAAGCATATTATTATTAAGAAAATTACCATGCTATTAAGAGACTCTCAAAATAATTTAAGTGAAGCATGAGAGATCAATAGTTTCTTTAAAACAAATCCACCACCGTGCTCTAAAAGATCTAAGTGAAGCACAAAGAGCAAATTTATAACACTCAAAAGATATAAGTGAAGCACAAAGAGCAAAATTGTCTAGCTCAAAAGATATAAGTGAAGCACATAGAGTATTCTATCAAATTTTAATTCATATATGGCTCTCTCAAAAGGTGTGTACAGCAAGGATGATTGTGGCATACTAAGACACAAAGACAGAAATAATACAAGACACTCCAAGCAAAACACATATCATGTTGGTGAATAAAAATATAGCTCCAAGTAAATTACCGATGGAAGTGGACGAAAGAGGGGATACCTTCCGGGGCATCCCCAAGCTTTGACTTTTTCGTGTCCTTGGATTATCTTGGTGGTGCCATGGGAGTCCCCAAGCTTAGGCTCTTGCCACTCCTTGTTCCATGATCCATCAAAAGAATTCACCCAAAACTTGAAAACTTCACAACACAAAACTCAAAACAGAAAACTCGTGAGCTCCGTTAGCGAAAGAAAACAAAAGACCACTTCAAGGTACTGTAATGAACTCATTATTTATTTATATTGGTGTTAAACCTACTGTATTCCAACTTCTCTATGGATTATAAACTATTTTACTAGCCATAGATTCATCAAAATAAGCAAACAACACACGAAAAACAGAATCTGTCAAAAACAGAACAGTCTGTAGTAATCTGTAGCTAGCGCAAGATATGGAACCCCAAAAATTCTAAAATAAATTTCTGGACGTGAGGAATTTATCTAGTAATCATATGCAAAAAGAATTAACTAAATATCACTCTTAAAATAAAAATTAAAGCAGTTCTCGTGAGCGCTAAAGTTTCTGTTTTTACAGCAAGTTCAACAAGACTTTCCCCAAGTCTTCCCAACGGTTCTACTTGGCATAAATACTAATTAAACACAAAAACACAACCAAAATAGAGGCTAAGTAATTTATTTATTAAATAACAGCAAGCAATAATATTGGGTTGTCTCCCAACAAGCGCTTTTCTTTAAAGCCTTATAGCTAGGCATAATATTTCAATGATGCTCACATGAAAGACAAGAATTGAAGCACAAAGAGAGCATCCTAAAACACGTGAAAAACACATCTAAGTCTAACATAGTTCCTATGCATAGGCATCTTATAGGCAAACAAATTATCAAGGCAAGCAAAAACTAGCATATGCATGGAAGAGGAAAGAAACAACAGTAATCTCAACATAATGAGAGGTAATTTAGTAACATGAAAATTTCTACCACCATATTTTCCTATCTCATAATGATTACATGTAGGATCATAAGAAAATTCAAAAAAATAGCTATCACATAAAATATTTTCAACACGATCCACATTCATGCAAAGTTGACACTTTTCCAAATTAGTGGGATTAACATTAACTAAAGGCAAGACTTCTCCAAACCCACTTTTATCAAGATTTTCATAAGATTGAACGTTCTCCAAATATGTGGGATCTAAAGTTGACACTCTTCCAGACCCAGTTTCAATAATATTACAAACACTATTATCAATCTCATATTCATCATGGGGCTTAAATAAATTTTCAATATCATAAGAAGAATCACCCCAATCATGATCTTTCCAACAAGTAGAGGACATAGCAAAACTAGCATCCCCAAGCTTAGGGTTTTGCATATTATTAGCACAATTGACATCAAGAGAGTTTATAGTAAAATCATTGCAATCATGCTTTTTATTCAAAGATCTATCATGAATCGCTTCATAAAGTAATTCATCACACTTTTCAGATTCACGAATTTGAAGCCAAACCTCATAAAGATAATCTAGTGCACAGAACTCACTAGCAATTGGTTCATCATAATTGGATCTCATAAAATGATTAGCAAGCGGATGAGGATCCATAGATCTTAGTTTCTCTGTTTAGTAATAAATAAATGACTATTCTAACCATACGAGCAAACAAGAAGCAAGCGAAAAGAGGCAAATAGAGAAAAAGAGGGAGGATTAGAGAGAGAGAGGGCGAATAAAATGGCAAGGGTGAATTGGGGGGGAGAGGAAAACGAGAGGCAAATGGCAAATAATTTAATGCGAGAGATAGGGATTGTGATGGGTACTTGGTATGTTGACTTTTTGCGTAGACTCCCCAGCAACGGGGCCAGAAATCCTTCTTGCTACGTCTTGAGCTTGCGTTGGTTTTCCCCGAAGAGGAAGGGATGATGCAGCAGAGTAGCGTAAGTATTTCCCTCAGTTTTTGAGAACCAAGGTATCAATCCAGTAGGATCCCACGCTCAAGTCCCTCGTACCTGCACAAAGCGATAGCTACTCGCAACCAACGCGATTAGGGGTTGTCAAGCCCTTCACGGTCACTTACGAGAGTGCGATCTGATAGATATAATATTTTTGGTATTTTTGGTATAAAGATGCAAAGTAAAAAGTAAAAGCAAAGTAAAAAAGCAAAACAAGATTAAAGTGATGGAGATTGATATGATGAGAATAGACCCGGGGGCCATAGGTTTCACTAGTGGCTTCTCTCAAGAGCATAAGTATTCTACGGTGGGTGAACAAATTACTGTTGAGCACTTGACAAAATTGAGCATAGTTATGAGAATATCTAGGCATGATCATGTATATAGGCATCACGTCCGTGACAAGTAGATCGAAACGATTCTGCATCTACTACTATTACTCCACTCATCGACCGCTATCCAGCATGCATCTAGAGTATTAAGTTAAAAACAGAGTAACGCCTTAAGCAAGATGACATGATGTAGAGAGATAAATTCATGCAATATGAAATAAACCCCATCTTGTTATCCTCGATGGCAACGATACAATACGTGCCTTGCTACCCCTTCTGTCACTGGGTAAGGACACCGCAAGATCGAACCCAAAGCTAAGCACTTCTCCCATGGCAAGAACTACCAATCTAGTTGGCCAAACCAAACGGATAATTTAAAGAGACTTGCAAAGATAACCAATCAGACATAAAATAATTCAGAGAAGATTCAAATATTTTTCATAGATAGACTTGATCATAAACCCACAATTCATCGGTCTCAACAAACACACCGCAAAAAGAAGATTACATCGAATAGATCTCCACAAGAGTGGGGGAGAACTTTGTATTGAGATTCAAAGAGAGAGAAGAAGCCATCTAGCTACTAACTATGGACCCAAAGGTCTAAGGTAAACTACTCACACTTCATCGGAGGGGCTAGGATGATGTAGAAGCCCTCCGTGATGACGGCCCTCTTCTGGCGGAGCTCCGAAATAGGCCCCAAGATGGGATCTCGTGGATACAGAAAGTTGCGACGGTGGAATTAGGTTTTTGGCTCCTGTTCTGATCGTTTAGGGGTACGTGTGTATATATAGGAGGAAGAACTACGCCGGAGGAGCAACGAGGGGCCCACGAGGCAGGGGACGCGCCCTAGGGGGGGGCAAACCCTCGTGACCGCCTCTTTTGTTCCTTGGAGCAGGGTCCAAGTCTCCTGGATCACGTTCAGTGAGAAAATCACATTCCCGAAGATTTTATTTCGTTTGGACTCCGTTTGATATCCCGTTTATCCGAAACACTGAAATAGACAAAAAACAGCAATTCTGGGCTGGGCCTCCGGTTAATAGGTTAGTCCCAAAAATAATATAAAAGTGGAAAATAAAGCCCAATATAGTCCAAAACAGTAGATAATATAGCATGGAGCAATTAAAAATTATAGATACATTGGATACGTATCAGATACTATGAGCCTTAAAATTTAGTACGGTTGGCAGGGTTATAGATTTTGTCCTTCCCGTTTACTGGGGCAGGAAATCTTCGGGAATCTACTCTGTTTACCTTCAACAATTTCCAAGAGCATCGATGGTCCACTATGTACTGCATATAATTTGTTCTAGCAAGAGATAGCCCAAGAAACTTGAAGACAATCTCTTCTAGATATTTGTGCTCGAAGTGTATGACCAATACTTCTTGACCAGCTCGCGAAAGAGAGATCCTTCAGTTTCCATGAGCTTTGTAGGTTTGTCAAACTCTACTACTTTCCCTGGAAGTGTTCGTATATAGCTCATCAGTATGGAACATATCCACGATCAATTTGGTATCCTCAGAAAAAAACATTACATTGCTTATAAGTTGTCGCCAAGAGAAACATACCGTCGCTCATTGCAAGTACCATATCCCAGTGCATAACTGTTGGTATACGGTGGGCAACTGTAATAATAGTGCAATATTTGAATTCTGTCCGGATCGTCTTCTGAAGGAGAACATCTGTTGCATTGTCTATAGAGGTTGTGGCTTCATCAAGAAGTAAGATGCGGCACCTTCTCAGAAGTGCGCATCCCAGGCAGAAGAGCTGCCTTTGGCCCATGCTCCAGTTTGACCCACTTTCCACAACTATTATGACAGGATCTGATCAGTACTATGGATGAGATAATACCAAACATCATGCTAGCACAAAGAAAATAACTAATACACATACGACTACTAACAATTTGACATATTTATTGGCACATGTATTTTCACACCTATTTTGAATTCTTGAAATGATTAGAGCTTTTCTGTTTACACACTATTAGTTTCAAAAGATGAACTCCAGAAACCAAATTATAGATAAAGTGAAGTTTCCTACCATGTGAATCCAGTCCTTGTTCCTTCTCCTGGACAGCTTCAAGAAGTTGACATTTGGCAAGAACCTTCAAGCACAATAACAAATGGAGTAACCACTTCAGTTGGTGGGAGGTCATCACCCATGTCTGAGTTCTCCTCAACTCAAATTCGGGTGCCTATTTCTTCCATACGTGAAAAGTTGTCTAGTTCCTCCTAGGGAATCTAGTTCTTATGAGAAAGGCAACTTGTCATTTGAGATTCCTCTAACTAAGAGCAGTTTTAGCACGCTCCCTCTTACCCCCTCTTTTCACATGAGAGGTAAGAGTATGTAGTAGATGAGCCGTTGATCACATTAATTAGTGGTCGGATTAACTCTTACCTTCGTACCTGATATGTAAAAAGAGGGGGTAATAGGGAGCATGTTAAAATTTGCCTGTAATTAAATTTATTCACCCCATTTTGTTAATGTGCTGAACTTTCTGACATCGCTAGGGATATGTCAAAGTACTCAAGCTGAATTATTTTTTTGAGCATCAGTACAGACACAAGCGCTCATATACACGCGCATACACTCACCCCTATGAACGAACACACGCACACCCTACCCCTATGAGTACCTCTGAAAGACTGAGCCAGCATATCATCTTGAGATTTACGAAGTCGCCTCGTCGTCGACGGGAACGTCTCCTCCCACTGAAAGCGCATCGCCGGAAATCCTGAAATAAATCGAGGAATAATGCGAGCACCAGGATTTGAACCCTGGTGGGTTGGGGATACCACTGTCCACCTAACCAACTCAACCACAGGTTGATTCGCTACTCAAGCTGAATTGCCGTAGTACTAAAAGGGGATGACCTCATGATTAAACATTGCATCAGGTTCTTTCGGTGTCAAACCTTGTCATCACGTAAGATGAGGAAAAATAACATAGTTAGCTGTGTGGAATCTTACCTCCCATATTTTCTCATCTGAGAATTGCCCAAGAGGATCTAGATTGTATCTTATTGTACCCTGAAACAGTGTTGGATCTTGTGGAATGATACCCAAACGCGACTGCGGATCATGTAAGCCTATCATACTGATATCCACAGAGTCTATAATTATTTTCCCTTCATCAGGTTCAACAAGGCGAAACAATGCACCAATTAACGTTGTCTTGCCACTTCCTGTTCGACCAACTATACCAATCTTATCTCCACGTTCAAAATTGCAAGTGATTCCATGTAGTACAAGGGGAGCATCTATCCTATACCTGATCTATTAAATGAAAATCCATCACATACATTGTTATAAGTGTTAATAGGTAGGATTTTATTTTACCTTGCAAGGTTTATGTGTAAGTATTTACATTTGGTTACCTTCAAATGCCTAATCTCCACATAGGCATTTTGGGGCCAATCTGGCAATGGTCGATTGTCTTCAATGACTTCTGCTGCTTCACTTGGTATGTCCATGTATTGGCTCACCCGTTCCACTGAGATTATTTGATTCCCAAGGTTGCACTGGCTTTGAGTAAAGGAAACAAATGATGTATTTAGAGAAAGACCATAGGACAATGCCATTCCCACAAAACCTGTGCAAGTATGAAAGCAAGGAACTAATTAGTGCTACTATTTGTAATGGCACAAACTGAATGATATTAAATACTTTATTTAGTTAACTCCGGTGCATAAGCATTAGGACTAGAATTGCATCTTCATAAAAAATACAAACTTATCCATAAAATCATCAGAACAGGTGGTGGCTTGAGAAATGTATGGAGTTTTATGTTCATAATGTTCTGCCCAGCCGAGGGCTGTAAATATAATTTTCTTGCAATAATAAACATTACTACCTCAGAGTGTAACATTCTAGAAGGCATTCAATCAAACTTTCACACTTTAGGCATCTTTCCTTTCCTCCTCCCCAAGAAGCTACTCCCAGGCGACTAGGGCTCTCCTTCTCCCGTCGCCGCGGGCGCCGGTCCGTGTTGCCTCCGATGGCCTCTGGTTCGTGAAGGTGCAGAGAATCCCGGCCCCACGCTAGCGGGAGGGATCCCCCTCTCGTTTTTGTTTGGTTCAGCGTCTCGGTTGGGGTTGTGCGGCTGTGGCAATGTCCCCTAGTAGGAATAATATCTCCCATGTTCGATCCCCATCTTGAAGTTGCGTCTACCGTCGTCGGAGGGCATGTGGATCTGTTTGGATCCAATCTTCACATGCCTCTGGTCGTGTGTCTATAGGTTTGATCTTTCTAATCCTCGCTTCTCTTTATCTGTGACGTTTGTTGTTCTGGTGCCGTAGTCTTGTAGAGCCTTAATAACACGACTTCCCGATTGCTACTACAACAAAGTTTGCCCAGCTCTGGCAAGGAAGGGTGATGACAGCGACGCACCTTCGGCTCGCTCCAGTGCTTGTAGTCGTCGCTAGGTGATCTACGAACCTGCTTGTTTTTGTTACTTCTGATGTTCTCTATACTACCATGACAGATGATGAATAGATTAAAAGTTTCTCCCGCATTTTTTTAAACTTTACTATTGTATATAAAAAAGGTATTTGGACTAGTAAGGTCAAAATACTATGATTGGATTTCTCATCAATATTATTTCCATAGTATGTAATGGTCAAATTAGTTTGTTGGAGACCCATGTCATGTCTAAAACGTTATCTGTTCCAGAATGGAGGGAGTATCAAGTATGTTCTCATAGCAAAAGCTTATTTGAAGCAAAGTGGTGCACATATAATTGCTTACCAGGGCTAGAAGTTTCTTGAGGAAGAAGAGCCATGACAAAGGCAGAAGAAGAAAGAACTATGGCGCTCATTATTTCTATATGTTGAATCAACCATTCAGTTGCTGCAAAATTACAGAAATATGGGCTGGCATTCTTGTCAACAAGATCCAAATTTTTAGCAAAGAAATGATCTTCTCCCTCAAAGGCCCTTATCGTTATAGCCCCTGAAATCGATTCACCTAAGTGACTCGCAAGGGCGGACTTTGTAGTACCATTGATCCGCATTAATTCCTTGGCCGATGCTAGATAGTACCTCTGCATGACCAAACACAATAGGCTTCACTTATTAAAACTTTGAGTGAAAAACTGTGAAGTGTGAATGAAATCAAACAATCAAAGAAATGAGGATTAGCCATAATGTAACAAAGTCACACCGATTACCTACAACCTAATTGCCAAAACTATCATTGGCACGGATACAAACAGAACTTGCCATGTAACAATAGCCAATACCCCTAGATTGCTACATGCATTTAAGCTGGTACCAAGGCTAACCACTAATGCAAATGGAATATCAAGGTCAACGATACTCAAATCTGAAGAGACTCGCATTAGAAGAAAAAGGGAACAAGTTAATCCCCCATGAGAAAATCTCTGTAACTTGTTGTGTCACCATTCATTTAAGAACTCTTAGCCGGCTAAGAACCCTTCCTAGAGGTGTAGAATCAAAAAAGGCCATTAGTGCATGGAACAATGAATTGAGTAGCTGGGAAAATAAGGATCTTGATGACTGGATCCCAAGAATAACGACTGTTAAAGATCTTGATAGCAAGAAGATCATTGTGCAAGCTCCGATAATAATGTACACAAAAATTAACTTCAGTGTGCTAACATGAGGATTTTGGACATTAGCAGCCATCCATGAATTCTGTAATATCTGCCCAGCTACGAAAATTATGTGAGAAATCATACACAAGAAGAAATACAGGAAGCCTTTCCTTTGGCGCAGGTAAAGCATATAAGACTTGAAAACTGCATCCTCTGTTTCTCTTTCCTCTTACTTGATCAGTTGATCTGCTAGTGATGGTTTCATAGACTCTGTATATCTACTTCCATGAATACCATCTGTCTCCTTTATTGATACTTCCTTAGATCTTTGATGGGGTATGTTATTCTTACGATGCGAAACACCCATAGTATCTTTATGGGCATGTACAAGGTCTTTAAATTCTTCACAATCTGCCAATAGATCTTGATAAGGTGCAGACTGAATAACCTCTCCATCTGACATTAACTGCCAACAATCATTAGATGACATCAATAAATAAATAAAGCTAATTACAGATAAATATCATCATATGGTGACTTTTTTGAAGTGGAGAGAGATACCAAAATGGAGTCAAATACAGGTAGAAAATCCACTTGGTGAGTCACCAGAAGAACAATCTTGTCTGATAGAGCACTCATGACATATTCCTGTCACAAAGAGCTTTGTAAAACAGTTCATGATCTTATAGTAATACAATATGTATCTGCTGATATGTTCCTTAGACCAAGTTACAGTTTCACCCCCCGCGTCATCTCTGTGAGGTGACTCGGGCGGGCACCCCGCCGGCCGCCGCCACAGAATCTCCACCAGCCACTTCCGCCCCGCGCGCGTGCTCTGGTCCTGCCGCCCCCTCCCCTCATCCGCATCGGGGGCGTCCGGATCTGGCCTGATGCTTCCATCTGGCCGCTCCTCGGGGTCGGCCGACTCCCTCCTTTCAGATCGGGCCGGCGCGCCGTGGCTGCGGGCTTCTGGCACCCTCGGGTGGCTCCGGTGGCCTGGCCTCGAGGCTGCCTCGGCGGTGGTTCCACCCACCGTTGCCTACTAAGCTGGGCGCGGTGTCCCCTGCTCCACACTCTTGCGCAGGCCTCCGCCGCCTCCCGCCCTCGAGCTCGCGTCATCGACCGCCTGCTGCGCACTCTGCGTCTCGTCTTCCGCAGATCCAGTTGTCGCGTCTTTCGCTCCCACCTTGTTCGTCGTTGTCGTGCTCCTTTGCGTGCTTGCCAAATGAAGGTGGCGTCGTGGCTCCTGCTCCTTGGAGCCCTCCACCTCCCAGTTCCCCCGGTGGGCTGCAGCTGTCTTGTAGCCTTTCCTGCTGGGGGCGCTGCACCGGTGCTCCTCACCGGTGGCCTCGGCATCAAGGGTGCCTGCCGGCGTCTCTGCCGGTCGGATTCACCTGGATCTGGGGCTGTCCATTTTTGGCGCTACCCCGCGCTATTGGCGGCTGCTCTGCGTCTCGTCGCGTAGAGGATGTGACCGGGGTTTGGGAGAAATCCATGGTCGGCCGGCTGCTGCTGGCCGAGACAGCAGCGACGCTTCCCGTCGTTCCCATCTTGATGGCGTTGTCTTCAACCCCCGGTCTTGTGATGTTTTGGGTGTGCTCTGTGGTGTTCTATGCTTGGTGATGCCCTTCGACTATACGGGTGGCACATAGGTGCCGTGGCGCCGTCTCGGCCCGGCGTGACTGTTCGAATGCACCCCATGACACAGGTGGTGTCGCGGCGTTGTGCAGTCTTGGTTGCCCGGTGCTTTTCAATTGCGTCGACGGTGCAGTGTCATGGTTTAATCTTGGCTCGCCGCTGCAGTTCGAGTGCCCGTGGTGGCCCTTTGTTGTGTTGTTTTTGGTGTTCTATGCTTGGTGGTGCCCTTCGACTACGCCGATGGCACACAGGTGCCGTGGCCTCGTCTCGGCCTGGCATGACCGTTCGAATATACCCCATGACATAGGTGGTGTCGTGGCGTTGTGCAGTCTTGGTTGCCCGGTGCTTTTCGATTGCATCGATGATACAGTGTCATGGTTTAGTCCCGGCTCGCCGCTGCAGTTCGAGCGCCCGTGGCGTCCCTGGTTGTGTTGTGTCCCCCCTCGCCATGTGTTGTCTGTGTGTTGTTTTTGTTTTATTTCTCCTTCTTGTATCCCCTGTACTTCTGGTTCACTTGAACCCTATCTTGTATTAGGCTGCAAAGCCTATAGGCAACAGATGAATACAATTCAGGTGGGGAGAATTCCGGTGACATTCAAAAAAAAATATGTTCCTTACATTGAAGAGACTTCATCAATGTGGAGAGAGGTACCAAAATGGAGTCAAATACGGGTAAAAAATCCACTTGGTGCGTCACCAAAAGTACGGTCACCATGCTTAACGGCTTAGAATCGGGACTTTAAAGACGTCTTGAACGTCATGGACCATATGAGATGTTCCAGGAGTTGAAGTTAATATTTCAAGCAAATACCCAAGTTGAGAGATATGAAGTCTCCAACAAGTTCTATAGCTAAAAGATGGAGGAGAATCGCTCAACTAGTGAGCATGTGCTCAGATTGTCTGGGTACTACAATCGCTTGAATCAAGTGGGAGTTAATTTTCCAGATAAAATAGTGAATGACAGAATTCTCTAGTCACCATCACCAAGTTAGTAGAACTTCGTGATGAACTATGATATGCAAGGGATAACGGAAACGATTCCCAAGCTCTTCGTAATCCTGAAATTGATGAAGGTAGAAATTGAGAAAAACATCAAGTGTTGATGGTAGACAAGACCACTAGTTTCAAGAAAATGGAAAAGGGAAAAAGGGGAACTTCAAGAAGAACAACAAGCAAGTTGCTGCTCAAGTGAAGAAGCCCAAGTCTGGTCCTAAGCCTGAGACTAAGTGCTTCTACTGCAAAGGGACTGGTCACTAGAAGCGGAACTATCCCAAGTGATTGGCGGATATGAAGGATGGCAAAATGAACATAAGTATATTTGATATACATGTTATTGATGTGTACTTTACTAGTGTTTATAGCAACCCCTCAATATTTGATACTAGTTCAGTTGCTAAGATTAGTAACTTGAAACGGGAGTTGCAGAATAAACAGAAACTAGTTAAGGGTGAAGTGACGATATGTGTTGAAAGTGGTTCCAAGATTGATATGATCATCATCGCACACTCCCTGTAATTTCGGGATTAGTGTTGAACATAAATAAGTGTTATTTGGTGTTTGCGTTGAGCATGAATATGATTTGATCATATTTATTGTAATACGGTTATTCATTTAAGTAAGAGAATAAATTGTTGTTCTGTTTATATGAATAAAACCTTATATGGTTACACACCCAATGAAAATAGTTCATTGGATCTCGATCGTAGTGATACACATATTCATAATATTGAAACCAAAAGATGCGAAGTTAATAATGATAGTGCAACTTATTTGTGGCACTACCGTTTAGGTCATATTGGTGTAAAGCGCATGAAGAAACTCCATGCTGATGGGATTTTGGAATCACTTGATTATGAATCAGTTGATGCTTGCGAACCATGCCTCATGGGCAAGATGACTAAGACTCCGTTCTCCGGAATAATGGAGCGAGCAACAGATTTGTTGGAAATCATACATATTGATGTATGTGGTTCGATGAATATTGAGGCTCGCAGCAGGTATCATTATTTTCTGATCTTCACAGATGATTTGAGCAGATATGAGTATATCTACTTGATGAAACACCCAAGTCTGAAACATTTGAAAAGTTCAAAGAATTTCAGAGTGAAGTGGAGAATCATCGTAACAAAAATAAAAGTTTCTACGATATGATTGCAGAACTAAAATATTTGAGTTACGAGTTTGGCCTTCAGTTAAAAACAATGTGAAATAGTTTCACTACTCACGCCATCTCAAACACCACAGTGTAATGGTGTGTCCAAACGTCATAACCGTACTTTATTGGATATAGTACAATCTATGATGTTTCTTACCGATTTACCATTATCGTTTTGGGATCATGCATTAGAGACAGCTGCATTCACATTAAAAAGGGGCACCATCTAAGTCCGTTGAGGCGACACAATCTGAACTGTAGTTTGGCAAGAAACCAAAGTTGTCGTTTCTTAAAGTTTGGGATTGTGATGCTTATATGAAAAAGTTTCATCCTGATAAGCTCAAACCCAAATCAGAGAAATATGTCTTCATAGGATACCCAAATAAGACTGTTGGGTACACCTTCTATCACAGATGCGAAGGCAAGACATTCGTTGCTAAGAATGGATCCTTTCTAGAGAAGGAGTTTCTCTCGAAAGAAGTGAGTGGGAGGAAAGTAGAAAACTTGATAAGGTAATTGTACCTTCTCCCTTATTGTAAAGTAGTTCATCACAGAAATCTGTTCTTGTGACTACTACACCAATTAGTGAGGAAGCTAATGATGATGATCATGTAACTTCAGATCAAGTTACTATCGAATCTCGTAGGTAAACCAGAGTGAGATC